AAAAAGGAAATCAAAAAAGGTAAATCATGAAATAGTTTAGAGGACGACCAACAACAAAAACTAATTCGTTATTGAGGTTATGAAAAAGCCAGAATAGAAAACAATTTCCTTACTACTGCCGAGCAATTGGAAAAACAAAGCCAAGAATATTTAAAAGCAATTGAGTTAGCCAAGTTTCATGAAGAAAGGGGCAAAATTAAGTGTGAACGTTATCAGTGTTCGGAAAGCAAAAGAATACAAGGGGAAATTAAAGCACAATTATTTAAGGATGAGACAAATAAAAAAACAATCATGATAGAAGGTGAATGTAGTAATTGTTATGAGCATAAAAAGGTGGATACTGAAAGTGGTTTATGTAAAAGGTGTTGTAGAGAACAATGGGGATAAGTTGGTTTAAAAAAAAGTAGCAAAAAAAAATTTGTTTTGTGAAACCTTTTTATTTTTACACTGGCCTAAATTTCACTAAATTACTTAAATCGGAGTCCTTAATATATAAAGCGGTGGTGCTAATTCTACTATGCCCTAGAACTTTTTGTAACACCGGCAAAGGCATTCCACTAACCGCATTATAAGTAGCAAAACATCTTCTTAAAGTATGAGGGGTTAGTTCAATATTCTCAGCAATATCTAATTCTTGCTTAACCTGCTGCAAAAAATGAAAAAAATTAATTCGGTTGGCAGAATTAGTTTTTCAATCCCGCTTTTTTAGTTCTTTGACTACTTCGGGAGCGACGAATACTCATCTTTCCTTGCTTCTCTTTCCTCTCAGTAAATATAAGTTTCTATACTCCGGTTCTTGGTGTTCCAAGCCCAAATCAAAACTAATAGCCTCAGCAACCCTTAATCCGGCTTTCCAACACAAAAGAAAAAGGCATTCTCACTGGCTTTTTTTACTTTCTCCTTTTTTGTTGGGTCGGCCAATAATATAATCCCAAACTTGCTGCAATAGTTGATTAGTGGGAAGAACAGTGAGAGATTTTTTATTTTTCGACATACTATCTGCTTGTTTTTTCTCCTTTCATCCTATGAAGTATAATTTTTCCTTTGCTCATTCCTTTCATTATCGCTTTTTCTTTAGCACTTTTCTTAGTAAAGCAGCTTTGACAGAACAAATATTCACTACCATGATAAAGACCTAAGCACCTCATGCATAATTTCTTTTGACATTCATCACAACATTCCAAATAATCTTTTTTTTGACAGTCAGAGCAAGTAGTGAATTCACCACATTTGTTAATAATTCTTTTCATAATCACTTATTCTTTTTTTCTTTGCGGACAATCATTATCACATCACCAATAGCAACCTCTAATTTCTTTTTCGTGAATTTCTTTAGCATGAGGCAGAACCTCAGAACTATTTCAGTCAATATCATCTTCACTGTATAAACTTTCTTGGCCTTCTTTGTAGCACTTCTGGCAGAGTTTTTCTTCCAAGTCATTTTCTTCTCAATTATTAGTTTTGGTCCTGCATTCATAGCATTCAATGACCATTTTTTTGTGAAGTGATTTTCTCCTTTTAATTTCTTGGTATAATTCTTGGAGGGTTAGCCCTTGCAAAATTTTTTCTTTTAGGCCTAATTCAGTCATATTTATATTTTTATAACCTTTTAACCATTTATTATTACATTTTAGACTTAACTGGTTATTATTAGTTAATGTTTCTGGTCTTTGTTATTACATAATGCCCTATTTTGTTATAAAGAGCATATTTTGCTTTGGTAAGTAGGCATTTATGTAATTAGGTTAAAAAGTAATACGGCAGATAAGTAAGTAAAAATATATATATGAGTGGACGTAATGTTAATATTTACCTTCCCGAGGAAACTTACAATAAAATAAAAGATTTAATCGAACAAAGAAAAATCAGTAAATTTGTCAGTGAAGCCATTGAAGAAAAATTAGCTCGGAAAGAAGAAGAAAAAAATGCAACGGAATCGGACTAGAAGAAAAAGCAAAATTTTTGAAACTAAAAAAAATCCATGTATGAAATCAATAAAAACAAAATAAACAATAACCAATTCAAATACTGTTTTACTAATCCAAATAATAGCAAAAAATTAACTTACCAAGAGTTTATTAAACTTTTAAAGTCAAGAGATAAAGAGTTTTTAAAAACATTCCGCAAAGCATTGAATAAAGTAGCCGATGATTTGTCCGCCTATTTTTGAGAATGTGTTCCCGTATCAAGTAACACAATTGACAAAGATTTTGAGTTTGCGGTGACTAAAAATGAGGAATTGGAAAATATTACCCAAAATTACTCTGCTTTTCAAGACTATATTAGTAAAAACCTTGACAATATAAAAATGCTACTTTAATTATTCCTATTCCTGAAAAAATGCAAGTGCCGGATTGCAACAGTGACAGAATATGCAATTATAAAAATTTGAAAGAATTTACCAATAATTCTTCATCGGAGCAATGGGAAGTGCTTTGGCAAAAAGTAGGTGAAAAAATGGAAGAGAGTCTACTTAATGCTAATGGTGCTTCACGATGATTATCTACCAGTGGTCTAAATGTCCATTATTTACATGTGCGGATTAATAATTCTCCTAAGCATTATTCTCATGAGGAATATTTAAAAGAAACAGAAGTGAAGCAAGAAGTATTGGAAAAAGTTTTTAATCTTGCTTAATAATCTCACGAAAAGCAGGACTCATATTTTTTCATGCTACTAACTCAACAAAAAAAGTAAATTACTTTCTTCAAATTCTTCTCCAATATTGTTAATAACTAACTTCAAACGCCTGGCACCGCTGCCATCTCATCTAATTCATCTTCCACATCTTGGAGAGATTTTTTTAGTAGTTTTCTCATTCGTAGAAGTGGCTGAATATTAATGTTTTCTTTCTGAATATTGATTAGTTTTAATCCTTTCTTATTAATTTTAGTTTTTCCTTTATCTCTCCAATAACTTCTTCTACTTTACCCTCAGAATTATCATTATTAACCACTAAATCAGCATACTGTTTAGCTGGTTCAATATAATTCTCCTGATTTTCTTTTGGTTTGCCCTTGTGAAATCTTTCTATCTCGTATTCGATTGGCTTACTAAATTTGCCCTCATCTAACCCTTGCTTATACCTTTCTAATCTTCTTGCTAGTCTTATTTCATCTGCTACTTCTAAGTAAATTTTTAAGTCAGATTTTTTTCTGATTTCTTCATTAAAAAAGGATAACATTCCTTCTAGGATAATAACCGGAGAGCTGTTAATTAGAACATCTGACCTAGTGAATTTTTTTTCCTCTGAATTGTCGTAAGTTGGTAAATAAATAGATTTTCCGGCTAAAAGAGTTTCTAAATCCTTATTTAATTCTTCTCATCGAAAAATTTGGTGTGGAGTAGGATTACGAGATTGAAAAAGAAGTGGACTATAAGCGTAATAAGCGTCGAGGGGAAGAATTAATGCCTCTTGCTGGTTTTGTTCTAAATTTTCTTTTAATTGTTTGGTTAAAGTGGTTTTTCCAGAGGCAGCACCACCGGTTATTAAAACTAGCAGAGGATTTTTTTGGCTTGTTTGGGTGGCTTCTTTGAGTTTCTCACTTTCGGATTGAGCATTCTTCTCAATAAGTTGGCTAGTTTCTAAGTAGTCTTGTTCTTCCGGAAGATAACTTACTTCTTCAATGGGGATTTTTTTGTCCATAACTATTTACTTAGGAGGTATTTCTTGATGAGATTGAATCTCTTCTTGAATTTGTAATTCTACTAATTCATGAATTTCTTGGTTAGAAGATTTGCCTTTTTTAGGGTTACTTATGGTTCTTTTGCGGAATACATTGGCAGGTTGGGAAGTGCTATCAGTAGCAAGAGTATTTTTACCTTCTAAAAGTTGAGCAGAACTATTAGTTTTGGAGGTGCTGGCTACTGATTCTTCAGCAAAATGTTTATCTCAATCAGTATCCGTGTTGGTTTCTGGATTTCTAGTAGTATCCTCTATTTGTTGATCGTTCTCTTCTTCATCTAGTCTTATACCTTGCTTGTAAGCAGTTATTATGTTCTCTAATTTTTTCATCGCTTTTATAATATCTCCTAACTGACTACCACCTCCTTGTTCTTTATCCTCTTTACTTAAATCCTCAGCAAGTTTTTTTCTTGGTTCTTGGTCGGTTAGTTCATCAATGTCAATCATTCCGTTCTTCTTACCATTTCTCTCCCTATCATATTCATCTAAGAAAACTTCGGTTCTCCTTCTCAACGCGTTGAGTACTCTATTCACTTCTCCTAACTCTTTCTCTTCAATTTTTTCTAATATTCCTATTAGTTCATGATAATTATCTAACATGTTTTCGGTATCACCAACAAATTCATCTCACTTCTTTTGCTTAACATCATAAATCTGATCATTGATATAAGAAGTAACCGTTTCCACAAACGGACCTGCAATAGCAATCACACCACCAATTTGGGTGTAAAATTGTGAGTTAGGATCAGAAATATCTGATTGACCAATCAATACTAAACTTCCGCCTGCTACTAAAGTTGCTCGATTAACTCATTGAACACCAGTAATTACTCATCAGCTTTTACTAAAATCATCAGGATTTTGTAACCTACTTAGTGTTATTTCTTTCTTTGCCTGTTTTTTTCAATAATTTGGTTCATATCAACTGTAATCATTTTCCTTACTTCACTTATTAACATATTTCTTGATATTACTCCTGATGACAAACATCCTTTCTGAAGGAATAACTAATGCAGTTGCATTATTTTGCTTGTCTTTTCTTCATTTTGGTATATCATAATATTTATCTTCAGCAAATTTGCTAAGTTCACTAACAATTTCTATCGATTTATATTGAGAATCAATATCACAATAAAGTTCGCGGCAACTAATTGGCAAGTGTTCTAACCCCTTGTTAATATGGGTACGACTAAGAAAAACTCTTTTTAAATTGTCCATGTCCTTTAAAGGTTCCAGACTACCGACCAAAGGACAATCTTCGACATTTAACTCTTTCAATCCAGCAAAAGGAATTAAGAAGTTCAAGTTTTTTTCAAATTTATTTTTGCTTATCTTTAATATCTCTAACTTCTTTTTGTTAGGTATATTTTTTAAAAAATTGCCACCAGTTAATTTATTACTCGAACAATTAAGTTTAATTAAATTTTCACAATTACTCAAATTAATATCAGTTAATTGGTTAAAAGAACAGTCCAAACTTTCCAAATTCACAAAATCAAACAAATCTAATTCGCCTTCTAAATTTCTGCTGTTTATATTTAGAAAGACAACATCTTTTCTTTTCTCTTTTGGATATTTTTCGTCTAATCAATTTTGGGCATTTTGCTGAGTAACAATCTTAAGTTTTTCTCCTAATAAATCTCGGGCTTGTCGTCAAGGAGCAATGCGGTAATAATCATCAAATCAAGCTGGATCTCCATTTTCTTGCTCTTTTTTCAATTTTTCTGTTACTTTTTCAATACGAGTGACAGCTTCTAATTCTTGACGAATCTTAACACAGCCAGTGATATCTGCTTGAAAAGAAGTGGTCAGACCAATTTTTCGAAAACTTTCTGGCAGATACTCTAAACCAGAATCAATGTCAGTTTTACCAATGCTTAATATTTCTAACTCAGTTAAATCTTGTAAAGGTTTGAACGAACCAATGAATTTGTTAAATATACCTTTTTCGAACTTTTCCTCATCGCAGTTGTCGAGAAATAACTGTTGAAGTTTAATAAATTTACTAACAAACGATAAGTTCTGCTTGTGAAAATTATTAGTATGAATGCTTAAAACAGTCAACTTTTCAGGATTTAATCCATCTAAAAACTTAGTGTCAACTAGTAAGTTATTAGCAATATTGAAATAAGTGATATTAGGGCAATTACTAACTTTTATGTCTGTAAGTTGACAGTTATTAGCATGAAAGTAGTTTAATTCAGGCAGATTATCGAGTTCGATGCTAGTAAGTTCTTTGTTGCCACCACATTCAATTTTTTTGAGGTTAGGAAAATCTTTAATTGTTAATTGACCTTCTAAATTTTTACCTTTAATAGATATTGCAATAACTTCTGGTCTTTTTTCAGAAGGATAGTTTGTGTTTAAATATTTTTGGGCATTTGCCATAATTTAATTTTAGTTAATAAAACTTGCTCGTGGCTGATTGACTGTTCTCTGTCAGTAATTAACGGAAATTGCCCACTAGTGTTTAAGAAAAATTTTTCAGTTGTTTTTGCTGAAATTGCTAGCCTATCTCTAATAATATCAGGCTCCAAATTTTCGGGCAATTGCTCGGGTAATTTTTCCGTGCTTGGGGTGGTGATTTCGACAGGTGATTGTGGTGGTTCTTTTTCTCTGTTTTCTAATCACTTTTTACAGGCTAAAATATTGCTGGGTTCATCATTTCCATAAATATTTTGTCAGTAAAGAGTGGTAGTTTTAATAGACGAATGCCCTAATAATTTCTGCAATAGTGGTAAAGGTAAACCTCTTTCAGCACGATAAGTAGCAAATGCTCTCCGTAAAGTGTGGGGGTGTTAACTCAATATTAGCCGGTAAGTTCAGTTCTCGTTTAATTTTCCGTAAAAAGTGATAAAAATTTCAGCGGTTAGTTTGGTTAGGTTTCCAATTGTATTTCTTTAACTCTCGAATAACTTCCTTACTAACATAGACAAATCTTTCTTTTTGTCCTTATGCTTTTCATGTCTTTTTTACTTTTGTTAATTTATTTAATTCTGATTTTTGTTTTTTTGCCTAGAAAGCGAAAGCTAGGTTTAGATAATTCTAGACTGTTTTGGCTCAAATTGGAAAGAGTGTGAACTTTTCCTAGTGATATTTGAAGTGCCTGAATTTTTGTTTTCAAGTAAAATATGATTGGTTTCTCATGATCTTAAATTTAATATATTTATAATTTTTAAGTTTTTTATGTAGATTCTTTTAATACTTAGTTAAAGCAGTAAATTCTTTTAGGTCAGGCTGACCTGCTAAATGTCTAAACATTTTATTCTTTCCGGTAAAGAATTTATATTGGCCAAATAAAGAAGCCAAAATAATAATATGGATAGCAGCAAAAAAGTCAAAAGTAAACAACTTCCTTTAGAAAGGCCAAAAAAAAGAAAAAAAAATTCTCAAGAGTTTCAGGAACCGCAAGAAATTATGTCGGGAAATCAAGGTCAAGTAATAGAAGAAGGAAAACAGGAACATGTTAAAAGCCTTCTACTTGAAAAAATAAAAAGCAAAAATGTAGAGGCAGTCAAATCTTTACTAGAAAATAATAAAGAAGTGGTAGCGGAGATTATTAATCAAAAAGTGGAAGGAAGGATCACTTTTCTTCTTCTGACTGTTGGTTTTAATGATATAGAGACTGCCAAATTACTTCTTGAAGATGGTGCTGAGCCTGAATTAGTGGATAAGTCAGGGAAAAACTGTTTTCATTATGCTGCTAAACGAGGTAATTTAGAAATGCTTAAATTGTTGGCAAGTTACACTAAAAAAAGTCTAGTAGAGGTCATAAACGCTCACGACGATTTTGGATTATCAGTTCTGCACGATGCTGCTACAGGAATAGTAGATAGTGTTGCTAGAAAAAATGAAAATTGAGCAATTATTGGCTGGTTACTAGAACAAGGAGCTGACTATAATTATAAAGTAAAAAATCATCTTTGAAAAGACTTTTCGATTGAAACGATTTTTTCACAAAAAGATTGGTCTTATGCTAAAAATTTTCAGAATATTGTTAAGGAATTTGAAAGAAAGCGAAAAGAGTTAGAAGAGATGAAAAATAATGAGAAAATTTTTTTTCAGGAAATAATTGAAGGCAAAAAAGAAACGATTGATAAGTTAAATGAGAGTACTAAGAAGAAGCTGAAGGATTTTTTAGAGTTAAAAAAACAACTAAAATTGGCTAAAGAGAGTTTAATTAAGGAAATAGGAGTAGAAAAAATAGTAGAGGAAGCAGAGACAAGTGAATTAGTAGCAAGCCTTGAGGTTAATCCGTGGGGATATCTTGAATAATTAGAAGGAGGAATGACGGTAGAGAAAAAGATAGGATTTTTACTTGAAGAACTAATAAGAAAAGAAAATTATGAGTGGGCAAGCATTCCCCCACAAAGGATTGTTGTTAAAAAGAAAGAGGATTATAGGTATAATTATGAAGAAATCCTTGATGCTTTGGCTAGATTATTTACATTAGATGAAGTCTGCACTGCTGTTTATATGAGTAAAAACGGAAGTCAACTCTTCATTGCTAGTAATGAAAAAAAAACAGTTCATGCTCATAGATGCATGCAATGTTTAAGCAATTATTCTAAGAATCCAACAGACAAAAATTATTTTGCTTTGTTAGAAAATACTTTGAAAAATATTTGTAAGTTGATTGTTCAACATGAAGACGAGCAGACTCTCTATTTCAATCGCACTCTGCCAAGTGACTGACTAGATTTTAAAATGCATTTGCATTTAATTGCTGGTAATGAGTCTTGAACTTTAAAAGAGGAAGATTGAAAGGAAATTCATCACCTAGCAAATGCTGCTTTTGAAGAAACAAAAAAAAGTGGGAATGACTTTATGGGTTGAGCAGACTGAGAAAGATATTTAAATCCCCTTATTGATACTTATTATCTTGCTGATTTCCTTAAGGTTTACCATAAGGGTTTGAAAGAAGACAACAAAATACGTGGTCGTCGTAAAGATTTATTTAAATTGATTGAAAGAAACGATGAGAGAAGCATCGTATATTGTAGTAATTCGTTAAAGCCTAAAATGCATGCTGAAATGAAAATACTAACGGGGATAAAAGAATATTTATATTTAGATGAAGAGGAAGGATATATCGGAATTAGCAAATTGTGTTGTGTCCCTTGTCAGTTAATGATTAATATAGTAAATAAAAAAAACCCAAAAATAACCGAAATTGATGCAAGAACAAAAAAAAAGCAAATAAAAAAAGCAGAGGGATTCTATACTCGTGGTACTCACGGGGGAACTTATTCCAAGTGGCAAGTTCCTGACTTCTACCAGAATGAACTTATCGAGAAACTAGAAATACTTATTGTTAGAAAAGCTTATGAATCAACTAGCGAGATGTTGGAAAGTTTTCCACTAATACTTCAGCCTCCCAAATAAGATGCTTCCTTCCCAAACTTTATTTAAAGTCTTTAACTTAGGATATTCTTGTAAATAACCAGCAATCTTCCTAATATCTATTTTGGCTACTATTTCTTTTATCTTAGATGTTTTATTATTCATATTTACTAATCACTTTTTCTTACTAATCCAACAATCGCAATAAGAACGATAATAAATATTCCTATTCCTCCGGCAATTAACCAAGGAGTTCAGTTAGTTTGTTGGCTTTGATGTCGCTGATGTTCGTGGTTATTTTCCTCCCAATCACTATCAGTTAAAAACCTTCGTTTGTTTTTATTCTTGTCTTGTTTTCCTAGTTTTTTCAGATAATTTTTAATTTCTTCTTGTTCTTCGGTTAAGGTTTCTAATTCACTTTTGGGTCTATTGCCCTTATAAGTAATTATTAGTTTGCTAGTGTCCTCGTCGTATTCTAATCTCTGGACGTCGTTGTCTTTACAATATTTTCGCACGGTGCTGACTTTGGGAATTTTGTTTTTGTTGTCATCCGAGTTATCGTCATTATTATCCCCTTCCTTGCTTGGTTGTTTGTTAGGCTTTTTAGAACAACTGCAAGCCAAATTTCCTGTTTTATCACCAAGATTATTAGTCTTACTAGAAATATACTCTTTCTGACATTTAGAACATTTATTTTTTTGGCTTTCTACTTCATTATTAAAGCCTCCTTTCCCGCAAAAGCATTTTTCTTTTTTACCATCTTCTAATTGTTCCTTGCGTTTGGTTTCTCAACCCTCACACTTGGCTAATTCACGATTAATTTTTTCGAGACAAGTCGGGCAATCTTGGGCTTTTTTAGTATTTTCTTCTAACGTTTGAGGTTCCGCATTAATTTCATCATCATATTCAAAAATTTCTTCGTATTCAAAGGTTCTTACCTTGGTTTCTTTCCAAGAAAGTTTATAATTTTGAATATTTTTATTATCTTTTCAAACCATTTTCGGCAAATTATCTAAAAAAATAGGATGGTTTTCCACAATTTTAATTGTATATTTACTATCTGGTGAAATAAACAAAAAATATTTAATTGGCTGGTTATTAACTATGTGCTCGGCTATTCCCTGGTATTGGGCTATACATTGTTGCTTTTTTTCTGTCATGGTATTTCTATTTGTTAGTCTACTATATTTAATGTTTTTACCCTGTTTTTTTTGTGAATTTAGGTAAAAAAAATCCTCAGTGATTAGGGATTTTTAGATAACAAAAATTCTTTTAATTTTCCCTCCTCTCCCCTTAAAAACCCCTCTCCTTGTCCCTAGAATAAATTACAATTAGTGTTAGATTTAGAGAATGAACAAGGATAAAAAGGAACGAAATCCCAAGAAAAGTTCTAAAAAAGCAACAATGTATAGCCCAATACCAGGGAATAGCCGAGCACATAGTTAATAACCAGCCAAATTTCCTGTTTTATCACCAAGATTATTAGTCTTACTAGAAATATACTCTTTCTGACATTTAGAACATTTAT